TCTTGGGTGGTTTCTCTCCGCATGACCGTCAGTGCCACAGCTCGCCGGGAAGGGCTCCTCCCGACGCGCTGTTTTAAACCAGCTCGCCGGGAGGAACCCCTCCCAACGAGCTGGTACACAGACCAGCTCGTCGGGAGGAACCCCTCCCGACGAGCTGGTTTAAAAACCAGCTTGCCGGGAGGGATTCCTCCCGGCGGTGTGGCCTCTTGGCACCGGGTATCCCAAGGGATACCCGGATACCCGCCAGTATTTCAGGGGGAAGGGTGCATCCGCACCCGAATCCGCACCCGCTGGCGGGTATCCGCCAGCGGATAGCGGATATCCGCGGCGGATTATCCGCGACCATCTCTATCCTGAGCAGTGGAGAGTTGTTTGTTGTTAGCATTGGCGCCAGTGAAATTTTTTCAAGAAATCAAATTGATCCGCGTTTATTTATTTCTTTGCCCATCGTGCCACCCAAACATTCTCGAGCCACAACCCCATTGCCACTCCCTCCCGCTACTTTTCTCATTGACTCTGGAGCAACCCATGAAGTGATTGGCGAGTCTTATGCCAAGTCTACGGGACTCCTTGATATTGCCAGACCCTCTCATCGTACCATATCTGGTTTTGACGGTTCCTCAAGCCGTTCTTCATTTGATATCCACCTGACTCTTGACACCGACCCATCTCCTTCCCCATTCATCATCACTCGCCTGAAAGACTCTTACGACGGGATCCTTGGAATGCCTTGGATCCGTAAGCATGGACACCTCATCGATTGGACTGACCGGAAATTCAGGAAAACCCCACAGGATTTTGCAGCTGTCAATGCAGCTTCGTCAATTCCGAAAAAACCCTCACCTTTTGGTGTGGAGCCCGTGAGGCAAGCTAGGATTTTTGGCAAGGGGGTGTGTGTTTCTGACACGTTAACACCCCCGCAATGTGAGTTCGCTGCGGTCCCTTCCATAAATTCTGTTGAAACAGCTGGCAAGCCTCTTCCTCTCCTAGAACCTGTTCCAACCGCAGATGTCAGCGCCGCCAAAGCCTCTTGGTCGACATTGGCTCAACTCGCGGCGGACAGCAAGGCCAAGACCCCTGTGAAGACGGCAGAAGAACTAGTCCCGACCCACTATCACCGGTATATCAACATGTTCCGCAAGTCCAGTGCCCAGAAACTGCCGCCCAGAAGAATCTACGACTTTCGAGTGGACCTGGTGCCGGGGGCTCTCCCCCAAGCAAGCAGGATCATTCCCCTGTCACCCGCCAAAAACCAAGCACTAGAAACCCTGATCACTGAAGGACTAGAAAACGGCACCATCAGACGAACCACTTTGCCCTGGGCAGCACCAGTGCTGTTCACCGGGAAGAAAGACGGCAACTTACACCCATGTTTTGACTACCGGAAGCTCAATGCTGTTACCGTGAAGAACAAGTACCCCCTACCCCTGACAATGGACCTGGTTGACAGCCTACTTGACGCCAACACCTTCACCAAGCTCGACCTGAGAAACGCCTACGGAAACCTACGTGTAGCGGAAGGTGACGAGGAGAAGCTGGCTTTTGTCTGTCGACAAGGACAATTCGCACCGTTGACTATGCCATTTGGACCAACAGGAGCACCAGGCTACTTTCAATATTTCATGCAAGACATCCTGTTGGGACGGATTGGGAAGGACACGGCAGCTTACCTGGACGACATCATGATCTACACGCAGAAGGGAACCGGCCACCAAGCGGCTGTCATGGGAGTATTGGAAACACTTAGCAAGCATCAGCTTTGGCTGAAACAGGAAAAATGTGAATTCTCTCGACCAGAAGTGGAATACTTGGGACTTTTGATATCATGTAACCGGATGAGGATGGACCCGACTAAAGTCAAAGCTGTATCTGAATGGCCACCGCCCAAGAATGTGACCGAACTACAGGGTTTTATTGGCTTCTCAAACTTCTACCGGCGATTCATTGACCACTTTTCAGGAATAGCTCGACCTCTCCACGACCTGACCAAGGACAAAACTCCCTACG